CCCCCCCCCCCCCCCCCCCCCCCCGCCTCCCCCCAGTGTCGCACCGCCAAAGCCCCCACCCCCCCGTGCCACGCCGCTGAAACAAAAACAAACAAACAAAAAACCTCGAGCGCCGCCCCACCGAACCAAAAAAAACAAAAAACCCCGAGCGCCCCCGCCACCCCAAGATTGGCCGCCCCTTCCAAGGTGCTGCCCCAAGCACGTGCTTGGTCGGCTGGTGCCTGGAGCCGGCCCTGCTGAGCATGTACCCAGTGTCTCTGACAAGCACATAGTCCTGGCAGCTAGTCTCTCTCACTACTGCCGCTATACCCTGCTTTTAACATGCTGGCTCAATCAGAGCTAGTGTGAGTATGTCTCCTTGAGCTGGGGATGGTGCTTCTGTGCCTGCTGAACATTGAAGGTGTTTTCCCTGATGCAGTGTTAGGACCAGGTGGATCACCTTAACCTGTTAGCTGCCTTCTTTTCACTAACTTTGGGTTTCTTCCTGTTTCCCCTCTTTGATGGAGACTTCCTAGAAGCATGCCCATCTATATCCAGGAGAACTTACACATCAAGAGTTTGGCAATAGTCTCATCCTCTCTGTGGTCAAATGTCACCCCAGCAACTGGCTAAGCAATGCATCCCTAATTACTTGGTCCTCGTTGTTGGTTACATTTGGTAAATTAAACCTAAATTACTCTGCAGCCGCTCTTGAAGGTTGGTAGATGGCCAGTGTGCAGGATGTGTCCATGGGGCCTGGCTCCCCGGCTCCAGCTGCTGACACTTAATAGCTGTGTTTCTATTGGAGAAATATATTTTTCTTTTGTGCATATAGAACCACAACTGCTGCTGCTCTTGCTGGCCCTCTCTATGTTGTGAGCTATGCCTTCGGTGCCACAAACAGAGTATGAGAACTCTGATCTGCCTCTGTGTACTATTGAATATACCCTTTTTAAAACGACATACTAAATCAGAATATACCATCTCTTAAGTAGCTTTTTAAAAAAAAAAAAAGTTATGTGGAAATGTGGCCTTTAGCTGACTTTGAGCACTGCTCATTTGGATGCAAAGACCTTGATTTTCTGCTTAGTAAGAGGGATGGAAAACATAATTCTATAATCCTTTCACAATTTAATTAGAGTAACTCTCCTTCTTTTAAACTAGTAAGCATAATTGCAACTGTTCATTTTGGCCGGTAAGCCTAACTTCAGTACCAGGCAGATTGGTTGAAACCATAACAAAGAAAAAATTATTAGATGTAGATAAACATGACCTGTTGGGGAAGAGTCAACTCAGATTTTGTAATGGGAAATCATGCCTTACCAAATTCAATTAGAATTCGTTGAGGGAATCAACAGACATATAATGTATTTGGATTTTCAGAAAGCCTTTTACTAGGTTCCTCGTCAAAGGCTGTTAAGCATACTAAGCAGTTATGGAATGAGAGAGAGAGTCATTTTATGGATCAGTGACTGGTTAAAAGAGAGGAAACAGAGTAGGAATAGACGGACAGTTTTCACAATGGAGAGAGGTAAATAGCAGTCCCCCAGTGATCTGTACTGAGACCAGTGCTGTTCAACATATTCATAAATGATCTAGAAAAAGGGGTGAACAGTGACGTGACAAACTTTGCAGATGATACACAATTTGTTAAAATTGTTAAGTCCAAAGCTGACTCTGAAGATTTACAAATGGATCTCGCTAAACTGGGTGACTGGGCAACAAAATGGCAGATGAAATGCAACATTGATACGTGCAAAGTAATGCATATTGGGAAACATAAGCCCAACTATACATGCAAAATGATGGGTTCTAAATGAGCTGTTACCACTCAAGAGAGAGATCTTGGAGTCATCGTGGATAGTTCTCTGAAAACATCCACTCAGTGTGCAGCAGCACTTAAGAGCTAACAGAACGTTAGGAACCGTTAGGAAAGAGATAATAAAACAGAAAATATCATTATGCCGCTATATAAATCCATTACGCCCACACCTGGAATACTGCAGGCGGTTCTGGTTGCCCCATCTCAAAAAAAAAAAAAAAAAATTAAAAAATAATATTAGAATTGGAAAAGTTACAGAGAAGGGCAATGAACATGATTATGGGGATGGAACAGCTTTCATCAGAGGAGAGATTAAAAGGAGTGGGATTGTTCAGCTTAGAAAAGAGACGACTAAGGGGGGATATGATAGAGGTCTATAAAATTATGACTGGTGTGGAGAAAGTAAATAAGGAAGTGTTGTTTTCTCCTTCTCATAACACAAGAACTAGGAATCACCTGGTTAAATTAGGCTTTAAACAAACAAAAGGAAATACTTCTTCACACAACACATGTGGAACTTGTTGCCATGGGATGTGGTGAAGACCAACATTATAAATGGGTTCAAAAATAATTAGATAAATTCATGGAGGATAGGTCCATCAATGGCTATTAGCCAAAATGTTCAGGGATGCAACCCCATGCTCCGTATGTCCCTAAACCTCCACCTGCCAGAAGCATCTGGCTCTGGCCACTCTCCGAGAAAGGATACTGGGCTAGATGGACCATTGATTTGAGCCAGTATGGCCAAGCTTATGTTCTTAAGTTATGGCATACAGAATGGGCAAAATAAAAAAGCAACAAAGACAAAGGAAGAAAGCAAGAACAATTAGATGGATCCATCTCTAGTTGGCTGCAGCGTGTCTCCTCAGCAACAGAGGCTACTTCAAGCACAGCAGAATTTCAAATCAAGTTCAAGGTCTCGGTTCTTATCTTTAAGGTGCTCCAGGCCTTGAGCTCAAGATATCTAAAATACTGCCTAAAGCTCTGGGATATGAAGACCATGGTGATTAACTGTGTTCCCCGGCACATGGGAACTCTGTACAATAAGGGTTAAACTCGTCTGTGCAGGCAACAGAACTTTCTCGGGGCCAATCCAAGATTGTGGAATGAACTCCCACAGGAACTAAGGACCTTCACAAAC